TTTCCTCCTCCAGTGGCCCACATTCTGTCCGAACTCTCTGTCATGACCTGTCCGTCTTGGGTGGCCCTGCAAGGTATAGCTCATTGCTTCACTGAGTTACGCAAGCCCCTTCGCCACGACAAGGCAGTGATCCATGAAGGGGATACAGGTGTAAGAGATCCCTAAAATTTCATTCTTCATAGTCTGAGACCTCAAACAATTACTTTCTCATTATGCTCCTTCTCTGCATTTTCCAAGGTCCTTTGACCCTCATTCCTTTCTTCACATGCTCATTTCTATTTTTGCAGCTGTCCCTTTTCTCCCTCATGGATGCACAGAACCAAACACAGGGCACAGAGTTCATCCTCCTCGGGTTCTCCAACCTCCTGGGCCACCAAGTCCACCTTTTCCTTGTGTTCCTTGCTGCCTATTTGGCCATACTGACGGGCAACTTCATGATCCTAACCCTGGTTCTCCTGGATTCTCATCTTCACACCCCCATGTACTTCTTCCTCAGCCAGCTCTCCAGCTTGGACATTTGCCTTTCTTCTGTGGTTGTACCAAAGATCCTGGTGAACCTCCTACACCAGCGGCAGACCATCTCCTACAACCAATGCCTGGCACAAGCGTTCTTCCTCATTGGCTTTGCAGGTTGTGAGCCAGCACTGCTGGCCATTATGGCCTATGACCGCTATGCGGCCATCTGCCAGCCTTTGCACTATGCCCACCTGATGAGGAACAAGGTGTGCATCCTGCTGTCTGTGGCCATTTGGCTCTGGGGCTTCCTGGACTCAGCTGTCTATATTGTTCTGGCTTCCAGGTTGGATTTCTGTGGAAACCACCAGATTCCTCACATGTTTTGTGATGCTCCCCCATTATTGAAAATTGCCTGCAGTGATATCTCAGTCAACGAGTTGGTCAGTTATATTAACAGCATCTTTGTGGGCCTCGTCCCTCTTCTCTTCATCATCCTGTCCTATTTCTACATTTTGGGCTCCATTCTGCAGATTCGCTCTAACACCGGCAGGCGCAAAGCCTTCTCCACCTGTGCATCACACATTGCTGTGGTGACTCTCTTTGTTGGAAATGCCTTTGTGAACTACACCCAGCCCAGTGCTGGCTACTCCCTAGAGATTGACACCCTGATCTCCACAATGTTTTGCATCGTCACCCCCATGCTGAACCCCTTGATCTACAGCCTCCGCAACAAGGAGGTGAAGGGGGCCCTGCAGAAGGTTCTCAACTGCCGGAAGACAGCATAGCTTTCATTTCTTTATGGCCAGTAAAAGATTGCTTGTCATGTCTGGGAAAAACCTGTAGAAGAATATATCCTTCACTGTTGGGAAACTCGTTTTTTATAATAATTTCATTAAAAATTACAATTAAAAAGATAAGAACTAAGACAAACTAAAAGAATAAAAAGAAAAAATAGAAGGTGCAGAAAAGAAGAAAGAAAAAATAGAAAGAAAAATAGAAAATAAAAAAAAATGTAGAGGTAGTCCTTGATTTACGACCACAATTGGGAGCGGAGTTTCTGTTCCATTCCAGTAAAAGATTTCTTGTCCTATGTAGGAGATGTCAGATTCAGCCTGGCACGCCCAGCGCCACTGTTCAGTTTCACCGCCCCTAGTCAATTTCACCACTTCAGGCACCAGCAGCCAAATTGGGGAAACAGGGCAAACCGCAAGTCAATTGCCGGCAGATGGTGGCAATTAACTCAGGGCAGAAATGGATAACTTGTCGTGCAACCAGCTTCCTGAATGCCCCAGGCAGTGCAAACACAATACTTCAGGGGCACAGTAATCCAGAGGCAATTGGTGACCAATTAAAGAACCCCGGGTTTGTCCACATGAGAAAAGCCCCACAATTACGACGCCAATGCAGACAAAAGGCAGCAGTCACGAAGACAAAGAAAACTGGCTGAATCTGCC